CTCCTGCTAAGCTGCAGTCCTTCCTTCCTTCCCTTCTCCATGCCCAGTGGTAGAACTTGCCCCCATGTGCCACCCACAGGGGCTGAACTGGTCATTGCCGTTTATATACCTCACTCACAACTTTGTACATAGTCTTTTGTCCAACTCTCTTCAAATTCTCCAACTGGACTTGGCCACCATGCCATTTCTGTCCAGAAGCTAGACAATTTGCTGCTGGCCCTCACCTTGCTCATTGGGCGAATATTCAAATTTAACTTGTCCAACCCCAAGAAGATCATATGTGTAGTAGAGCTCACAAAATGCAAAATATGTTTGAAATTGATATCATGTCAGAATCATCGTGCCTGGGTTAGGTGACCCGAATGGAAGGCTGGGAGGAGCAACTTCCAATGTTTACTAGATTTAAAGTTTGGGGCTGGGCACGGTGGCTCACGTCTATAATCCCAGCACTTTGGGAGGTCGAGGCAGGTGGATCACTTGAGATCAGGAGTTCAAGACGAGCCTGGCCAACATAGTGAAACCCCGTCTCTACCAAAAACACAAAAATTAGCCAGGCATGGTGGTGGGCACACGTAATCCCAGCTACTTGGGAGGCTGAGGGAGGAGAATCGCTTGAACTTGGGAGGCGGAGGTTGCAGTGAGCCAAGGCGGTGCCATTGCACTCCAGCCTGGGTGATAGAATATAATAATATTCTCAAAAATTAATAATTCCCCCAAAAATAATACAAATCGTAAAAAAAATAAAGCTCGGAAGCAGGGGCCAACCCACTTCTCAGAGCGAGCAATTGCCTGGAAACTGGAAGACTGGGGCAACGTCTATTGTGCGCCATGACCTTGGGCAAATCCCTTGATCTCTTGCATTTCAATTTCCTCGGAAAAATCTCAGGTGGTTTGGAGACTTCGCTAATAACAATACACATAAAGACCTTTTTGCCAAAGCAAGTTCAATCCCATTCTCGGCGCTTTTTTCCGAGGTTATTTTTGTGTGCCGGCGCACATATGTGACCGTATTTGATAAGGTATTTCCTGGAGGTGTTTGCGAAAGTCCATCGAAGCCAGGGGGTCGTTGAACCTCAGGAACTGACCAGCCCCTCCTCCAGCAGAGCACAGTGGGGGAAACAGAATTCCACATGGACCCTATTTTTGTACCATTTTCCCTGAAATAGGAAGGCAAGATTCTGTCTCATGTTGCACGCCGGTGGTTTTCCTCCTGTGAGCGCTCCCACCCTCCGAAGGAACGACTTCCCTTGGCCTCTTGCTTCCTTAGCAGGTTTCCTCAGACCCTTGCTCAGGGAAATGCCGACTCAGCAGGAAGACACCCACGGCCAAGGCCTGCCCCAGGCCCTCGCTATCTGACCGTGGATCCCACTTAAATCCTTTCCATTCCTCTTGAAGGAGCGGAGAGGGCTTTGCCCCATAGAATCATCAGAGATCGGATGGTCTCAGCTTTAGCTCAAGGAACATGCCCCTCAAATATCCAAGCATGTGGGGACCTGATGGGAGGTGGTGTATCCTGCCTGTCCCTTGGAGGACCCTTTGATGAGGTGTTTGACTCATTACCCATCACGTTGGGAAGTTGCAGGGGGCATCAGGGTAGAAGCAGGGGCTTGGGGTCTGCTGTCAAACTTTGGCTCTTCCTTCTGGCTACGGATTGGAGCTTGCTGGATTATCTGGGAAGGGACTGCATGGGCTGCCTGACAAAATAAGGACACTCAGGTACATTTGAATTTCAGGTAATAATAAATGATTTTTTATAATAGCATGAAACATACTTTTATAAATGTTGTGCGTTATTTATCTAAAATTCAAATGTACCTGGGCATTCTGTATTTTTATTTGCTGAATCTGACAACTCAAACAGCGTCAAAAAAAAAAAACTGGCGCACAGTAGGCTCACAGCAAAGCATTTCCTTCACTATGTTTGTGCATTAAATAGATACTTTTTGTGAGCCTACTAGGCACCAGGCCTTGGGGACACAGCAGGGAATATGACAGTATCAGTCTCTTATGGCTGCCCTGACAAATTCCCACAAATCTAGTGGCAGAAGCAACATACATTTATTAGTTTACAGCTCTGGAGGTCTGAAGCCCGGCACAGGCCTCACTGGGCTAAAATTAGGGTGTTGACAGGGCTGGTTCTTTCTGGTGGCCCCAAGGCAGTGTCTTTTCCAGAGACTACCACATTCCGTGGTTAGTAGCCCCTTAATCTTCAAAGCCAGCAGTTGCAGTAAGTCCATCTCATGACACCATGGTTGGTTCTCTCTTTTGTCTCATTCAGGATCATCTCCCTACTTTAAGGTCAGCTGATTAGCAACCTTCATTCCACCTGCCACCTTAATCCCCCTTTGCTGTGTAACCTAGCGGAATCCCAGGTTCCAGGGATTAGGATGAAGATGTCTTGGATGGCATCACCTGCTAGCACAGGTCCCTTCTCCCTCCTCCTGTCCATGCCCAGCCCCTCTCCCAACCCAGAGGAACCAGGCACCAGCTTGGCTTCTGGGCCTGGAGAGAAGTCCTCGAGTGATGGCGATGGTGTCAGCCATGACAGCAATGACAGCAGCAGTCACAATGATGGACTGCACAGCTCTCCTAGCACAGACGCTTCTGTGAGTGTTTCTTTCTTTCACCGCCCAGTGATCCTGTGAATTGCTGGGTTCACACAGCTCAAGTGAGTGGGGATGTAATGGTGCATTAACAGGCTCAGAATCCAAAGCTTTCCTTCCACACTGCCGTCCACAGGACCATGAGCTTCCTCAGGGCAGGGAACATGCTCATCAGGACCATGAGCTTCCTCAGGGCAGGGACCATGTTCCTCAGGACCACGAGCTTCCTGACTTCCTCAGGGGCGGGGACCATGTTCCTCAGGTTTGAGCTTCCTCGGGGCGGGACCATCTCATCAGGACCACGAAGCTTCCTCGGGGTAGGGGACCACATCTTTCCATTAGGACCACGAGCTTCCTCAGGGAAGGACCATGTTCCTCAGGACCACGAGCTTCCTCAGGGCGGGAACATGTTCATCAGGACCATGAGCTTCCTTGGGGCAGGACCGTGTTCCTCAGGACCAGAAGCTTCCTCGGGGCGGGGACCATGTTCCTCAGGACCATGAGCTTCCTCCAGGGCAGAGACCCATGTGTTCATCCAGGACCGTGAAGCTTCCTCGGGGGCAGGGACCATGTTCTCAGGACCATGAAGGCTTCCTCGGGGCGGGGACCATGTTCCTCGGGACCCACTTGAGCTTCCTCGGGGGCAGGGGAACATGTTCTTCAGGACCAAACTTCCTCAGGGGCAGGGACCATGCTCATCAGGACCAGAAATTCCTTTGGGGCAGGAACCATGCTCATTAGGACCACGAGCTTCCTCAGAGACCATGTTCCTCAGGACCACGAGCTTCCTCGGGGCAGGGGAACATGTTCATCTCAGGAGTGCCATGAGCTTCCTTGGGGCGGGGACGTGTTTCCTCCAGGACCAAGAAACTTCCTCAGGGCGAGACCATGTTCCTCAGGACCATGAGCTTCCTCAGGGCAGGGACCATGTTCATCAGGACCGTATGAGCTTCCTGAGGCAGGAGACCATGTTCCTCAAGGACCATGAGCTTCCTCAGGCGGAGACCATGTTCCTCAGGACGAGCTTCCTCGGGGCAGGAACATGTTCTTCAGGACCAGAGCTTCCCTCAGGGGGCAGGGACCATGCTCATCAGGATAAGAAATTCCTTGGGGCAGGGACCATGCTCATCAGGACCAGAGCTTCCTCGGGGCAGGGACCATGCTCATCTCATGCTCATCAGGACCAGAAATTCCTTGGGGCAGGGACCATGCTCATCAGGACCAGAGCTTCCTCAGGGCAGGGACCATGCTCATCTTTGTGAGTAGAAAGGCTGCTTCAGCCAAGAGCAGTGATCTGGACTCGGAGCTCAGGGCCAACTCCTGCTGGATGTATACCCAGGGGACGGGGGATAGGGATGGGAGGTTTTGTCATCCATCAACCAGGAGTCGATAGCCCACCTTGCAGGGTTGTTGTGAGGATTAAATGAGGTTATCTAAGAGGGACCTGAGACATTGAGAGCCTCAGCAAACGGGAGGCAGGATTAAGACCCTGCACCCAGTCTTCCCCATGGGTCTATGGGTCACGATCCTTGTAGTTTGTGCTGTTGGAGGGATTGAGTGCACGGAGCAAGGATCGTCCACTCTCCAGCCTGAGCGCTTAATTCCACGCAGCAAAGCTTTCTGGGCTCCTACTATATGCCAGGCTCTGGGTGAAGTGCTGAGGACTCGAAGATGACTTAGGTTCAAGGCTTTGCCCTTTTACCTATGCAAGTTACAGATAAAATCAGATTGCCTCCAAATAATTTGATAAGGTCATCATTATTATTTTAAACAAAAACAGTAGTAACAGCTAATATGCTGAGCATTTGTACATGACAGTCACTCCTCTAAGCAATTTTCCTGGACTACTGCATTTCCTTACAGGGACTCATGTGGGAGGTACTATTCTTATCCCTGTTTTACAGATAAGCAGGAAATTGTTGCTCCGCCTGGTTACCTAGATTGTTCCAGGTCAAATGGCTAGAAAGTAACAGAATCAACATTTGTACCCCAGGCTAGGAGTAAAAAGGGCTTGCAACAGGAAGCATAATCGGGGGTGCAGTTCCTTTGGGACATGAACTGTCTACTGAAGCTGAATACAAGCACAGCCTCCCACCTGGAGATTCCACCTTTAGGCACAATTGCAAGAAAAATGTGTACACGTCCACGAAAGGAACATCACAAAAGCATTCAGGCAGCACTGTTTGTAACAGCCAATGATCAGAAACTCCTTAAATGCTTTTCAACAGAAGGATGGATCAATAAATTATGGGATAGGTATACAGAAGAATATTATGGAAAAATGAGAATGCACAAATCTTGCCGCACACAACAGCAAGGGTGCACCTCCCTAATATAACACTTAGCAAAGGAATCCAGGCACCGAAGGGTATGCCCTGTGTGATGCCTTTAAAATGCTCACAACCAGGTGCACAGGTCTCCGTCTGCAGGGGGGTCAAGCTGGGCTGGAGCCGCTTTCCCCTGCTTGGTCCCAGGCTGGAGATGGCAGAAAGAGGAAAGTGAGCAGGATCTGAAAGTTGGAAGTGGAGCAGCTGCCATGACCCCCAAAAGTCTTTGTGAGTGTCCTGGGGAGAGACAGGCAAAGAGGTACTGATTGGTGACTTGTTTTTGTTCTCCCTGTCTCCTTCCCAACTGCAAACCTCACTGGCCGCCAGTGACCTTGGGACCACCAGTCACAGAAGCAGCTGTGCCCCGCAGACCCCTCCACTGCCTCCTGTCCCCATTCCCCACGTGCCAGACGGCTTTCTGGATTTCCCTGCAAGCTGCCCTCACTGATGTTTCTGGAAGCCTCACTGGGGAGGAACTTGCTTCTGAACCCTGCCCCCCCCCCCAGTTCCTCCCACAATTGCGGAGGGTCTAAGTCCCTGTAATAAATCTGTTATTCCACACCATGCATGGTAGTTCTGCCTCCCTGGTTGGCTGGGGCCCGATAAGCGTTATCAGGAGGCAGGAGTGGCAGCCAGGAGGGGCATGGGAGCTTCTGGGCTGGGAGGCTGGCTCCAGGGCAGGGATGATTTCACAAAAATTCACTAAGCTGCATGCCTGTGATTTGCATACTTGTCTGCATTTTTGTTGTATTTCAACATGCAATCTTTAAAGGGTGTTTTAAAGGGTGTTTTGCTATCACAGTCACTTTTATCATGCTGCATATTAAGTTCCCAAAGCAGAGGCAGAAGGCACAGAAAACGGTTTCACTTGGTGGGTCTGCCAGACTCCTGGGCTGGGATGAGCAGGGCAGGGAATGCCTTATCTTCTGTGAGTTCCCAGGGCCTGGCTGCCCCCAACCCAGGGTGGGGCTCAGTGAAGGCCACTGTGAGGAGGCTGGGTGCACATAGTGGGGGACCGATGCAGAGGGGGCCTGGGAGGAGGGGAGGACAGGCATGGGGAAGGGACAGTTCCCATTTCTTCAGGAGGAGAGCCTTGAGTGGCTTGTCCTTTCCATTTTAAGAGTCTCTTATCTCAGAGGACATTGCCCAGAGCAAGGGACGGCACTCAGAAACTCATAAACTGCTTTCCCACCAGCTCTTCCAGGGACCCTGAGAAAGACCCTCACTTTGGGATTGATGGGCAGAGACCAGGGGGATTCTCTGGACTCTGGCTCTCCTGGGTCTGGGTGAAATTTCAGCCTCTGGGGTCTTAGCTTCCTGCTAAGAAATGGCTTTTGTTTCTTCAACAGTTACTGAAAGAGGATTGCTGTGGGTCAGGGGCTGTTCTTTCTCGGCCAAGATGGACAAACCCGTACCCCCCAAGGATCCCTGTCTAGGAGGGAATACAAAATAAGTTTCCCTGCAAATTACATATATAATTTTTTATATAATTAACATACATATATTAGATTTTATATATAATTAATATGTAATACACATCTACACACATATTTGCATACTTTGTATATGTATTTCTTACCACCTTCTCCTCTACTTTCTGTCCAGGCCCTGGTGCCACCCTGTCACCTGGGTCATCACAGTAGTCCAGAACGTACCTCCCTGCTGGCACCTGGCCCACCACCGGTCAGTTCTAACACAGCAGCCAATGTGATTCTTTAACACCTGAGTTGGGTCCCATCACAGCCCTGCTCCGAACCCTCCAACAGCTTCCAACTCAGCCAGGTGCAATCTGAGGCCCATAACAGGGCCCAGGGCCTCCCTGAGCCAACCCCATCTGCCCCTCCCCCTCGCTTCCTCCACTCCAGCCTCCTGCCTGCCCCTGGATGCCCCCTGCACATCTGGCCAGGGCACCATCTCTGCACTGGCTCTTGTCTCTCCAGGAGTGCAGAGATCTGGGGATCCAGTGGATCTGGGGACCCTCCCTTCAGGCCGGTACATAAACAGCATCACGCAGCACCCGCAGTCTCCAGCCTGTTTCCCTGCCTTATTTTTCTTCGTGGGACTTGACGCCTGCAGGTCCATGGCCTCGTGGATTGTGGGTCCTCCCGCACTGAAATGGAAGCTTCCTGAGGACGGGGTCTTTGCTGGCCTCTCCTGCATAGAGACCAGGGCCTGGAATGCACTGTAGCTGCTAAAGAAATATTTGCTGCCTGAATGAATGAATGAATGAATGATTCATCCTTGCCCCACCCCTTGCTCCCTCCACCCGCCATCCCCAGCCTCTGGGCCAGTGGCTGCCATTTCCGATGAACGTGAATAGATGGTCTCCTGGGAGGTGCCTTTTCCTGCCAGACTTCCAAGGGCCCGTGTTCCGGAGACAAAAGGGCCTCTGGTCCACTCGCTGCCCCTCCCAGCACACAGGCTCATGAAGGGCGAACACCCGGGGATCTGGTGGCTGTTAAAGCCTTTATCACCCTTTCCTCATAAAACTCTACTCTGAAACCAGCCAACCCCCTCATCTTTGCAAAGCTTTTCAGGGAAGGGTAGACGGCAGTGAGCTGTCTGCAAACTCTGAGTAGGATCTGAGCTCAGGGTGCCTCCCTCTCCGTCCCCTTCTGCTCTGCCCTCTCCCTTCCCCTCCCCCTGCCTGTCTCCCAGCCCTTTTCATCTTCTGTCGGCTTCCTCCTTTGGGGACAGCAGAACCTATTCCAGGCTCTGTTGGGCTGGAAGCCCTCAACCTCGGTGGGGAGCCTGGGGCCCCAGGCCACAGGGAACAGCAACAGGGGAGTCAGCCTCCTCATCCCCACGCAGAGGGGGCTCAGCCCCTTCATCCCCACACAGAGGGGGTTCAGCCCGGGCTGCAGGAAGCAGGCCCCTGACCCGCTGCAAGCTGAGCCCAGACACTAAAGGTTGTGCGGGCCGGAAGGCCGGGCTGTGAGCTTCAGGGGGAGACGCCCGGGGGCTCATTTCCTGGGCCAGGAGGAGCAGGGGCGGGAAGTGGGGCGCAGCGCTGCCGGGCAGAGGCTGAGCCGCACCTGAGAAGGGTGGAAGCTTTCGCTCTTCAGGCCTCCCCGCTCCGCCCGGGCCCCTGCTGCTCCCACTTCCGCCATCCAGGGCCAGGCCGCCATCTTGAGTTTCCCTCCAGCCTGGCCTAAGGACGACTCTCTTCTTCAGTGCCTTCTCCACCGATTCCTTGCATATTAAGATTCCAGAAGGTTCTGATGTCTTGGTGCTTGAGTTCAGTGATGTCAAGCTTGGCATAGTACCGGTCTACAGTGAGCCCAATAATTGTTAGCTATTGTCACCTTGACGGTGCCAGCCACCTGGATGCCATTCACCTGGACACCACTCACCTAGACACCTCTCACCTGGACACCACTCACCTGGACACCGCTCACCTGGACACCACTCACCTGGACACCACTCACCTGGGTGATGCCACTCACCTGGGCACCATTCGCCTGGCTGTTACCTGGGCACCACTCAACTGGGTGCCACTCACCTGGACACTTCTCACCTGGGTGATGCCGCTCACCTGGACACCACTCACCTGGGTGCCACCACCTGAACACGACTTACCTGGACACCACTCACCTGGGTGCCACCACCTGAACACCACTTACCTGGACACCACTCACCTGGACACCACTCACCTGGACACTATTCATGTGGCTGTCACTCACCTGGGCGCCACCACCTGGACACCACTTACCTGGATACCACTCGCCTGGATGTTACTCACTTGGGCACAACTCAACTGGGTGCCACTCACCTAGGTGTTATGCACCTGGATGTTGCTAGTCACGTGGATGCCACTCATCTGGGTGTCACTCACCTGAATGCTACTCACCTGGGTGCTACTTACCTGGATGATGCCACTCACACAGATGCCACTCACCTGAATGCCACTCACCTAGGTGCCACTCACCTGGATGCCACTTACCTGGTGCCACTCACTGGGATGCCACTCACCTGGGTGCCACCCACCTGAACACCACTCACCTGGGTGTGTGAGAACGGTGGAAGTTCCTGGAACACAGTTGGCATTCATCCTTCCCGATGCTGCTCTGGATGATGAAGCCATGATGTTTGCTCTCCCATTCCCTCCCTCCTCTGAGCCCCCATCCTCCCCGACCCCCATCTCCTTTCCCCTTACCTCCTACACAGCCAGCCCTTACATGGTTATTTCTTCATGTCATCTGCCACCTCTGGGCAGCCAGGCTGCCCCAGACTCAAGCCCTGCAAAGAGAGGGTAGGACCTGAACCACCTCACCTGGCACAGCCCACCTGTCCCAGCATGGGCATGGGCTTCAGACACCAGCCCCCATGGGACCCACAGCTCCCTCTGCCCCTCTGGCATTCAGCCCCCAAGAGGTGACAGCACTCCTACTTATACAGCAGGTGCCCTTTCCCACAGCCCATGGGCAGTGCTTGGAACCGCTCAGCAGGGAGGCTGCCAGCTACCCCAGGCTTCCAAGCCTCCAGACATTCTTCCTGAGCTTGCCCAGGTGGGTTTTGGATGGGAGTCCATTCATTCATTCATTTAATGACGACGAATGTTCTCTACTATAAGGAGAGTGAAAACACAGAGTTGAGGATGAACAGACAAAAACAAAAAAACCCAAAATAGTTGCTCTGGAGAGTGGCACTGGGCATGGGGAGGAGTAAAGCAGGAAGCTGGTGTTTTCATTTTCTTCCCAACTTTTAGGTTCAGAGGGTGTGTGTGCAGGTTTGTTGTGTGGGTAAATTGCATGTCGCAGGGGGCTGGTGTGCGATCATTCCATCACCCAGGTAATCAGCATAGTACCTGCCAGGCAGTGTGTCCATCCTCACCCTCCTCCTACCCTCCACCCTTGAGTAGGTCCAGTGTTTGTTGTTCCCCTCTATGGGTCCATGTGTTCTCATCATTTAGCTCCCACTTATAAGTGAGAACATGCTGTATTTACTTTTCTGTTCCCATGTTAATTTGCTTAGGCTAATGGCCTCCAGCTGCGTCCATGTTGCAGCAAAGGACATGATCTCATTCTTTTTATGGCGGCATAGTATTCCATGATGTGTATATACCACATTTTCTTTAGTCTACCGTCGATAGGCATTTGGGTTGATTCCACGTCTTTGTTATTGCAAACAATGCCACGATGAACACACACATGCATGTGTGTCTGTTCCTTTCTGTCTATACCCAGTGATGGAATTGCTGGGACACATGGGGGGTCTAAGTTCTCTGAGAAATCTCCAAACTGCTTTCCACAGCGGCTGCATGAATTTACATTCCCATCGACAGTGTGTTTTCCAGGAAAGGCTGTTGAGGATTATTTGATCTTTCTTAACCACATGCATTTATTAGATCAGGAAAAAGAATAATACAAATGGAATTACGCCACTCCCCACTGAATCCCCTCCAGTGACACTGGGGCTCCCAGAGCAGATCTCGGGTTCTCTCTATGGACTCTGAGCCATGCTGGCCTGGCCCCGCCTCCCTCTCCAGCCTCTGCTGCAGCCACACTCCACTTGAAGGCCTGCCACACCATCTTCGCACATGCTGTTCCCTCCTGGGTGCTCTTTTCCCAGCTCTCGCTGTGGCCAGCTCCTCACCTTCAGGTCTCAGGTTAAACTTCATCAGACCCTCCAATTCTAATGATCTGTTTGTGTGGTTGTTTGACCAGTTCCCAGTAGCCTCTAAGCTTCCGGAGGGCAGGGCCATATCTGCTCACCCACGGGTGGATACCTGCCCCCAGCACTGCCCTGGCTCATGCGTAGTCTCTGGAATTTTTTGGACATAACAAACAGTGTAGTAGTGATCTAGCCCCCAGGACAAGATGTTTAGAAGCCTTTCTCCAATGCAGCACTGGTGCCTTCCCATCAGCCAAGATGTTGGCACAATCACTGTCCTGTTTCTTAGGCCTCACCAGGGAGGCCTCTGCGCAGTGATGTCGGATCAGGGAACTTGGCCTGAGCACAGGCTTGAACAGACGTGAGGGAAAGGGAGAAAAAGTGTCTCCCACAAAACATCTCCCTGATGTCTTGACACGGGGCTTTAATTCCACCATAAAAATCACTCCTTGGGACTCTGGAAAAGCACCTGTGGAAGACAAATGAGATTGAAGGAGATAATGCCTGTGGCAGTGAAATACAGGGCGGGATAAAAAAGCAAGGGTTGGAATGTTCTTGCAGTGGAGTGGTGGTTTCGCTCCACCCCTCTGGTAGGATGGGAGACATGGCTTGTGTGGGGGCCTCCTACCTGACCCCGGGCTGTGTTCTCCCATCCGGGAGGGCGGCGCGCCCCTTGTCCTCACCACCAGGGGGCGCAGGGGAGCCCCATCTCAGCACCTGCAGAGTGTACAGGTGGGGGGCACAAGCCCAGTTCCCACTTGGGTTTCATCCTCAACACCTGAAAAACTTAAGGAAACATTTAAAAAAAAAAAAAAAAAAAAACCCACACAACTGCAGACTCTTTAATCCCAGTCCCAGAGAATCTGATATGGAGTGGACCCTGGGAATTTAGTGGTTTTGTTGGTTTTTTAAACAAGTGCCTTGATTGAAACTGATGTGGCCAGGTTCATGAACCATGAGTTCACTACAAACCGACTTTTCTCTAAAACCGCACAAAGGAAATTAGCCACAGTCATCCCTGATCATGAAGGGGAAGAGAACAAAGGAAAAAGGAACCTGGATGAGTCATTCTTTTCTCTGATTTTTCACCGGCCATCCCCCCAAGTTCCCCGGCCACTGTGGACACACAGAGAGGGCGGGCGCCGGGACAGAGCCACCCTGGCCACTGTGGACATACAGAGAGGGCGGGCGCCGGGACGGAGTCAGGGCTTAATTGTCCTGCCGTGATGAGAATGGACAATGTGAGGTTAACAAAGGTAAAGAGGCTGGAGGGAAAGAAGTCGTTAGCACTGTCTGTGAATGCCCAAGACCCACATTTTCAGTTTTTCACTTTTTCTGTGTTGATTTCTTAACTCAGGTGCAGACGGCCAGCAAATCACAGCCCTTGGCTGCTGGTGCACCATTTTCATCACTGGTCCGAGGGAGCCCCTCTCTCATTTTATTTCTCCAGTCCTCTTTCTGAGGGTTTCCTACTCTCATTCCTTCTCACTATGTGGACAACGGTTCCAACGGGTCTAAAGTGTGTTCTCAGTGTGGAAATAATTTGCACAAACAGTCTTGTGTTAAGTATTTCATTCTATTTTTCTCCCTTCCCACCCTACCCCTGAGCAAATTAGTAAGACCCACCCACTCTGTTGGGTCCATATACACTGTCCCTAGCTGGCACCCCTCACTCCATGGGGGCGCCCCCATGCTATACTGTCCGCTGTCCCAGTGGTGGGCTCCTCAGCTCTCACCACCATAAATGACACCATGAGGGACATGGTGGCACATGTCCCTTATGGATGTGTGAGAATTCCACTAGCTGCTCACCCAGCATGGGGTGAGACTGGTCTGTAGGGTGTGTGAACCCTCATCTGATTAACTACAACTAGTCAGACTTTTTTTTTTTTTTTTTTTTTTTTGAGACGGAGTCTCACTCTGTCGCCCAGGCTGGAGTGCAGTGGCCGGATCTCAGCTCACTGCAAGCTCCGCCTCCCGGGTTTACGCCATTCTCCTGCCTCAGCCTCCGAAGTAGCTGGGACTACAGGCGCCCGCCACCTCGCCCAGCTAGTTTTTTGTATATTTTAGTAGAGACGGGGTTTCACCGGGTTAGCCAGGATGGTCTCGATCTCCTGACCTCATGATCCGCCCGTCTCGGCCTCCCAAAGTGCTGGGATTACAGGCTTGAGCCACCACGCCCGACTAGTCAGACTTTTATGCCCTAATTGTAAGAGAAAAAATATTTAGTAAATGCAAGTGTCCCATGACACAATGCTGTTGGGCCCCAAAGGGCAGCACAGAGGCTTCGAAACTGAACACAATCCCTTCTGACTCTTCCTTTCTGTGCATGTGGGAAATAGAGAGCACCGTTCTTGTCCTTCACACTTTGGTTTCTGCTAAAATGTCTAAAATCAAGGTGAGGAAACCCTCTCTGTGAGCCAATGTGGAAGAGGATTTGGGGATCCCCAGGGTGTGAGCTGGAACCACGGCATCGGCCTCATCTGGGAGCTTGCTAGAAATCCACAACCCAGACCCCAATCAATCAGAAACTGCAGGGGTGGGGCCCGGAAGTCTGTGTTTGAACAATTCTCCAGGGGACTCTCAGACATGTTGAAGTCTGGCAATAATAAGGGCAAACCTAGTTGATATCTAGGTAGGAGATCTACATCAGGGGTGTCCTCTTTTGGCTTCCCTGGCTGCGCCACATAGAAAAGAGAAGAATTGTCTTGGGCCATACATAAAATACACGAACACCCACCATAGCTGATGAGCTTAAAAAAAAGCAAATGAGGAAAAAAATCACAATGTTTTAAGAAAGTTTAGGAATTTCTGTTGGGCCACATTCAAAGCTCTCCTTCCACATGTGGCCCCAGAGCCTTGGGTTGGACAAGCTTGATATGGGTCGATCAATAGATACAGATTGACTGACTGAATGAAGCTGGTTTTGGCAAATCATAGAACACAGAAGCACAAACTTGAAATTCCCCTCAGAGAGCATTTGGTGGTCTGACCCCCAGAATCTTCCTGGAAAAGAAGGCAGGAGTACTTAGCAGATGGGACTGAGCTACCAACCATCTCCTTCAAACAGAAGATCTCAACTGTTCTCTGTTTTACAAATGACACATCTCGGGAAGGTTTCCTTAGAAAATAAGGTCCCAGGATGAGATGAGCTGAAAACTCCTAACCCATTCCGGTCTCTCCTCGTTTTACAGACAAGGAAACTGAAACCCAGAGAGACGAACTGCTTCCCTAAAGGCCACACAGCTATTCCTGGCAGAGGCAGGCTGATCAACTTCATCTGCATCCAGGGCTTCCTGTGTGCGCTGCACCAGCCCTACGTGAGTATAAGAAGGTTCAGGATGGCCTCTCGGAGCCGTCGAGGCAATCCCATGCCAGGCAGCCTGATTCGAGCCCCCCAAGGACCCCGAGTGAGCTTGCGGGGGCCTGCTCAGCCCTCCCCACTTTGCAGCCCACCCCCACTCAGAAACACGGAAAGCCAAACTGGCAGACAGCTGGCAGCTTCAGGTTCCCGGCCAAGTTCATTTTGACATTACAAGACAAAAAGCACAAGCGTGTTCCGATGGGACTGGCCGTTACTGTGGTGCCATTCAACAGGGTTTACGATTTTCCTGGAGCCTCTCGGCCGGGTGATGCCAGAGCGTAAGCCAGAAAAAGAAAATTCCTAGGTGACGTAAATGCAGTCAGGACGCTTGCGAGGGGCATGCACTTTTCCTGCCCCGGGAAGGGGTGGGGAGCGGGGAAAGGAGCCATTTTAGATCCAAATAGAGAAAGAGAAAATGAAAAACAAAAAAACAAAAAAGCCCTGTGCTGTGTATTCATCTCATTGCATAAGATCCGTGTGCACTCGCTGGCTTTGTTTCCCAACCAAATGCCTTTGACTTAATAAATGCTCTGGGCAATTAGCAGACAGGGGCCCCCCATGAAATCATCAGAGCTGAGATCACTTGAGAGGGTATCAGACAGTCAGGACATTAATTGCATTATTTTATTTCCAGATAAAAGTTATTTTGGTGGAGCCAGGCTTGCCAGAGAAGAAACTGATAAGATCAGATGCCGTCTCTCACTGCCAGATATCCTATTAGGGGTCTCAGCAGACGGGGGATTGGGTGACAGTCCAGATCTGCATGGACAGCAGGGGTTTTTTTCAAGTCAGAGGAAAAGCCCAGGGTGCCTGAGGAGTCCCCTTAAGCCATGGAGAAGCAAAGTGGGCTGTGCAGGCCCTCTGGGGGCTTTAGGTAAGCCTAGTATGCTTCTGATGGCCCGAGCCACAGCAATGGCTTTCACAGGAAAGAAAAAAAAAAAAAATCCTGTTCTCTTTCTTTTTCAAGAGAGGGACTCTTGGTTCCTTAGTAAACATAGATGCTATACTCAGTGCACAGCAAGGTCTCTCTCTCTCTCTCTCTCTCTCTCTCTCTCTCTCTCTCTCTCTCTCTCTCTCTCTCTCTCTCTCTCTCTCTCTCTCTCGGCAGTGGCCCAGAACACTCTCCCAGGCAGAAGGGAAAAGAAGACAGAGGGGGATTGGGGACTGTGTCAGGTAGTGAGCTGTTTCCTGGAGAAGCCCGTGTCTGGTTCCAGGGGAAGTGAGTTTCTAAGAAAAGGTGTCTGAAGGAATTTTGCCCATCAACCATGACACCGGCACTGCTGTTGGAGGGATGAACAGCTCATGCACAAAGTCCTGTCTCCTCTCTCCCCTTCCCCATGTCTGTGCAATACCATCAGAATTGGCAGACCCTTATTAAAGACAGTTGGCCACTGAGAGGCTATGCCCCGTGTGAGACAGAAGCCCAGATGGTAAGTGGTCTTACTTTCAGGGCGGGGTGTTCCGTATGGTATAGCCTCCAGGGCAGGAGGATCATGCTGCCTCTTTCTTGGTGTCTTAGGTGGTCCCTGCCTCCTTCCCTTTGGCAGGTGTGTGGGAAGGATCGAGTGTGAAGGGATGCTCACAAGCACTGAGAAGATGACCTGGCTCTTGTGAAATGATGGAGGTGGCCTGGGAGGTGTCCAGACCCTGGATTTAATGTGTAACACATGGTTCACTCAGTTCCGATGTTGAGACTGTAGAGAACGTACCAGAAGTCCCACAAATACTCGAGGAGTCGTGATTACTAGGACAGGCTGAGTTGGGTCTATCTAGTACTCTGTAATTTTAAAGACCTGGTCAATCAATGTTACTATATAAATGGGATCACATAGGCTACCTTTCTACTTCAAACAACTCCAGAGGCATCCTGCTGTGGATAATAGATGCTGATTCCCTTTGTCTCCTCTTCCTCCTCGTCTTCAACCTCCCTTATAAATCATCCCCCAGCTCTGACAGGGTACCATCATAATGATGGTTATATTTAAATATGTGAGTGCCTACTCTTTGCTAATCAAACTAAATTATTAGTTGCATCATTTCATCTCAACTTCATACAGTTACTATATTTTTTCTTTTCCTTTTATTGTGGCAAAGTATACTTAATGTAAACCTTGCCATTTTAACTTTTTTAAAGTGAACATTTCAGTGGCATTGGGTCCACTCATGTTAGTGGACCACCATCGCCTCTGTCCAATTTCAAAACTGTTTCCATCCTGCAGAACTGATACTCAGTACTCATTAAACGACTCCCTCCGGCAGCCACACTGGGAGCTGACCCTCTCCACCCATGCTTCAGGCACTCAGGCGCTCATCCAGGGATCATCCTGTACCTCAGACTCACCAAGAACTGTCC